GGAGAAGGATGTTTTTTTCTTTTAAGATGTGACATTATTTATGAGTTTAAGTTGTTAATGGAAACTTAATCAAGCAAAGAATACTGGGATTTGGAAAGAAGTTTTATGAACCACAAACTTTGTCATGTAGGTGGAAACACATGCTGGAGGTACGCGGTGGAATCCAACGCAAGAACAGATAGGGATTCTGGAGATGCTGTATAGAGGTGGGATACGAACTCCAAATGCACAACAAATAGAGCAAATCACAGCGCAATTGGGAAAGTATGGGAAGATCGAAGGCAAAAACGTTTTCTACTGGTTTCAAAACCACAAAGAACGCGAGAGGCAAAAGCTGAAGCACAGCAGCCTTGGCTTTACCCATTCTACCAGGAACTCAGCTCCCATAACTTTGGACACTAGGGTACTCCCCTTGGTTTAATTATAGAATGAGTATCTGGTTTAGTTTCCCCTGTAAACATTAGGTTTACCAAATAATCATGCTTTATCTTACAGGTGGAAATAATGGAAAGATCCGATGAGGATAGTCCATATAAGAGGATGTGCAAGAGTTGGTCATTTGAGTACTTGGAAGAAAACAGCGGAACGCCATGTAAAGAGGAGGAAAGCAGAGCCCTGGAGCTATTCCCATTGCACCCTGAAGGCAGATGAAAAGGCGTTTGAAAATAGGAAAAAGTTGGGAAAAACTGCTAGAAAATCAAAACTCCGTTCCCATTATGATATTCTTTGAAAAAGATGATGATTAAATGTGGTAGCTTTTTCTTTCTTTTGTTTCGGGAAAGAAGAAAGACAAAGTTGTCTCTCCTTAACTCTTCTGCTTATTTATTCCCGACTTAAAAGCAAATCAGATTTATGTCACTCTTTATTCGATCTTTCTTCCAGCTGGTGAATTGGTTTTTGTTTCCTTTCTTTTTGGGCGTCACTTCGACTACTTGGGGAGAAACCGGTACTTTGCATCATTCATCCCCTTAAGCTAGCTCATACCTTCCCCCTTGAATATTTGGTTTTATTATTATAAAAAAAATGAGAAAGACAGAAGTAGATTGATGGTGTGTGTCCTTGAAAAAATAAATCAAGATGCAGGATCAATAATCTTTATGATACTATTGCCTGGGCCTGGAAGGCTTCTGTAAAGTTGCTACTATATATCCATATCTATCTACTTCGCCACCGGCCAGTTAACTGATGTGTGTATTTGACTATTTATATAGGCATTTAAAATCAAAAGTTAATAATATTCGGTGGGAGTGGGACAGATATGAAATTCATGGCAGAAGAATATATTTTCAAATGGAGAGATGGGGGGTTTCTCTCGGTAACCGAGAGTGAATCACTGATTACCATTCAAAAAAAGGCTGTGAACTCTGAAAGAAAAGTGGAATTCCTTTTCCAGCTTTGTCGCAAACAACTTGGTTTATAGGAAGAAGAGATGCTATATTATGCAAGTCAAATTCACTTTGAAGAAAATACCTCCGTATGCAAGCTGCTATCTCATGGACACGCCAAAATAATAGTATTTATACCCTCCGTTCATTTTAATGCAGAAAACATACTTGTAGACTAATGTTTCTGGAAGACTTTTAATTTGGAGGCATGCATGACCATAGGATACACTTTGGAGTTATAAGACACTTCTATCTGTCACATGATATTTCAAAACAGGACATATTTGAGATATATAAAATCTGACATTGATAAAGAAAAGAAAATCATTTGTACTACTTTTACTAAACAGAGTAAGCATCTCCGCTACATTCTCCTCCGAGTATCAACAGCGTTCAAGATCTACAAGCCTACTTGTAATCAGCCTATCTCTTACTATAACTCTCTGAATAGTGAGGACAGGAAATAGCTCAGCTCTATCTTTCCAGAGAAATTGCTCATTCATGCTGAAAGGTAGTAGCTATTTGGTCCTTGTGGTCTTATCGAAACAAAAAACTACATGAAAATTTTACTCAGAGTCCTAAAGACCTAACCAGGTACATTCATAATTTTATAGAAGAGTTTGATGCAAGCAACACTTCTACAGGTACCTCTACTAGCTGTGCCAATGAATGTTGGTCTCCACCCCCAGATGCAGGGCCGGCCCAGGACCTGTGCCACATGGGCCTGGGCACAGGGCATCATATTTAAGGGGGCATCATTCTAATATTTTGCCTTCCCAATTATTACCTCTTTTGCTTTTACCAGGACGACGACCATTTTGCTTGTAAAACTGAATCCGAGATTGAGTTGTTTTCAGTTTTCGATTGTTCGAGATCCTTCACACTATTCTCTGATTTACTTCGTGTTTGGATGCATTTCTGCTTTTCCGGTTCTCGCAGGTCAGCTTTCTATAATTTATGTAGTGAGACAAATTTCTTGAATCTACCTGGTTGATCTATCCAGTACTCTTCGAAATTCCCTCCTTTGTCTATTATATAATTCCCATTATTTATGGATTTTAAAGATATTATGGGTTTTTGTTGAATTGATTAGATAACTTATTGTATGACCGGGATTTTTTTTATCTGAGTTTTGTTTAAATCAAGGGTTTATTTTTAAATGTTCAATATGAATTTCCTGTTTGGTCTTACCGTCTTAGCATTGAATCGAAATTCCCTCCTTTGTCTATTTTTAAATGTTCAAGGAATCTGGAATGTGCCTCAATGTTTTTTTTACTTTGGGGCATGTTTGTCCAAAGAATCATGTTCACTTTGAAGATTTTGGAAATGGTATTAGTTTGTTCTTGCCTAATGGTTTTAAGTTAGCCATTTGGTTCGATCGGGTGGGGCTTAAACCGGTTCCTGTTTTTGGAAAACGAAATGCAGTAGTCTGTATGCCACTTGATTTTATTTTTTGAAATGAGTCTTGACTAGTGAGTGCAGAATTTTAACATGCAGCAAATTATAGTTGTAGAACCCAATTATTTTTCAACCAGCCGGTCCCAAAGATTAAAAGCAAATATAAAAGCGACGGATTCATAAATAATTCAGACAAGTGTGAGGCTTGTGGGGAAGAATGTTTGCAAATGTTTGCAAGTGCTGGCTAATGTTTGAAAGTGCTTTCTGGATCTTGAATCATGAGATTGCATTTTCTGTTTTGCTAGTAGCCTAGCAGTAGATAGCTTTCCTGTTTAACTTATCTTCTTTTATTTTCGTACAATTCATTTTTTAGAGTGATTCATTTTGATTATTTTGATTTCATCATTAATTTTTCAGATCAGTTGATTGTGAGAAAGAACAAGTGAGAAAGAACAAGTCAACAACATAAACTTCGATCATCGGTCAGGTTGTATCTTTCCTTGGTAATATACATGTTTTATTGTTTACTTGCTACTATATTTGTTTTATTGATTACTTTTAAATATGTTACCTCAAAAACAACCATCGGGTGCTCAAAATAGAAAACGAAAAAAAATAAGAACAAGAAATAGATAATTCTTTACATGTGTCTTTAGATAGATTTATTGTTAGACCGGTTAAACCTTCTAATAATCCGATCTTCGAAGCACGATGACTCAAGATAGATTGAACGGATTAGCAATTCTAACCATCGAAAGTCAATTTTTACAAAGTCTTGATTATCGTAAAATAATAGAAGTTTTTGTTTCAAAAAATGCACGAATGCATCATTTTAGGTGATATTTGTAACATTGTAGGTTTTGGTTTGTATTAGCATTGATATTGTTTGACGATAATTTTTATTACATTTTTTTTAAAAAAAAAATTATATTTTGTCTATTATACGTTACAAGTATAGGGACATAAAATTATTATTTCGCCCAGGGCATTAAAATTCATTGGACCGGCCCTGCCCAGATGACAAGTTCAAAACAAATTTTGGTGCAAGTTTTGATTTGGCTACTAAATCCTCCACAACAGGAATTTTTGTCAGAAATTCAGAAGGGCTAATAATGGTTGCATGTTCTTATCCTAACTTTTATGTTGCGAATCCAGAAACTGCCGAAGCACTAGCCTGCGAGCAAGCTGTTTCCCTTTCAAGAGAACTAAGATTTTTTACAGTTATCATCGAAGGGGATGCCCTGGTGGTGATCAACAAAATATCACAGCCTTCAAATGGTAACTCGGAAATTAGAGCGATAGTTCAAAATGTGCAAGCTATGGGTAGAGATTTCGAAACGTTGTCTTTTACCCATGTCCGTCGGAGTCAAAATGCTGCTGCCCATGTCCTCGCCAAGATTGGACGTTCTTTTCTAGTTCGTATGGTCTGGTTGGAAGTAGCTCCAGTTGAAGTTGAAGCATCAGTCGCTCGTGACCGTTGGTGGGTGGATCCACCGAACTAATTTTGAAGCTACGATAGTTTGATATCGGAGATTTCTTTGAATCCTTTCTCCGATTTATTTTTGTCTTTTCATCTGCATGCAATGTCTTATTTTGGTTCCAAAATTGGAGAGCTGAACCCAGATGAAGATTGTTGTTCACGCTCCTTGCTATTTTTTTGGGCAATTCATTTATCGAGGGGCAAACTCTAATATTTTAGGAGCCCAAATGAGCCAACAGACCCAATACTGATCAGACAATAAGTTAAGGTATAGAAAGACCTTGTTAAATGGACTGAGATAGAAGGTTGGCCTGTTTCTTAGGTCAGTAGTCCACCCGCTTTTGAGTATTTGACCAACTGTCTATTTTTAACTTTTTCTGCTGACTTAGGCAAACCTATTTTTGCGGCTTTCAGCCTAATCCGTTGTATAAACACTTCGGAATGCAGCTAAAGCACAAACACCTCTCTTTTTCATTTTTTCATACAAAAAGAGCCCAACCCATTAAATAATAGGGAAAAAACACATTAAAAGCAATTGAGTTGGGGGATGTAACCGCTGCTTACTGACATTACCACGTGTCATCTAACCGCCCAAGTATCACGCGGGGGCCTGATTTTGCCACTACAAGGAGACCGTTGATCTCTATACCATAGAAAGATCCGACGATAGACAGTAGCTTACCGAAACAAAGTAGGGTTTGTTCAAAACCTTCATGCCTATAAAAAAGACACAGTTGCTTCTTTACTGGGTGCGGCGCAGTTCGTTCTGCCCTCCCCGTTTTGTCACTTTTTAGAAAATCCAAAAAAGAGAGAAAATCTTGAACTCCTCTTTTGTTCGCCGTCGTCATATATCGTTCCGTTCAACTCCGGATCTCTGACCATTTTATCCCCGTTTACGCCTCTCTCTCCTTTTCTATCCGAAATACCAGAAAAAATATTTAGTTTTAGAATATGTTTTAATTTTTTTCTCGATAGTTTTTGATTGAATAACAGGCGTAGAGGGGGGAAACTAAAAGAGAAGAAGAAAAAAAGAGCGCGATCTAGAAGAGTTAGCGTTACGGGTTATTTTGATGGCACAGATTCAGGTTCAGTATCAGGCGCCGGTTTCCGGACCAAACGGCGTTGCCCCCGTAACTGGTGGTCCGCAGTTGATGCTGACATCGCTCTATGTCGGGGATCTTGATTTAACTGTTACTGATGAGCAGCTCTACCAAACGTTTAGCCAGGTGGCTCAGGTCGCTTCAGTAAGAGTCTGTCGGGACTTGGCAACTGGCCGGTCTCTCGGCTATGGCTATGTCAACTATAACAATCCTCGTGATGGTTAGATTTCTACTTAATTTTTTTAAAAATTAATTTTCTTTCAGTACTTTAATAATTGACCGCTGTTTGTCGGTTACATTGACTGTGAATTCTTTTGGAATGTGAATATGGATTATTGATTATTGTGAAATTTTGTTTATGGTGATTTGAAATTTTTTGAGATATAAATGTAAATGTAGATTTTATTGGAAGTACTTTAATTGGTATATAATTCAAGCTAGTTAACTGTTGATCCAATTTAACTGCAAAGTTTGAGTGTATTATAGCATCAATGTCATTTTCGTTGATAGTTAATTTTCAATGGTTTTTTTAAGTTTAGATATCGTCAATCCCTATGTTTGCTTTTAAACTTCCATAATGTATTCTTTAGAATGAGAATGTAAAACATTTTGAAAAATAACGTCAGTCTCTATCTTTGCAAAATATTTGAAAAGCTTTTCAATTTCTATGTTTTGCTTTGAGACTTTTCTTAATGCATTCTTTAGATTTGCAAAATATTTGACACGGCTTTGCCCAATGTGCCTCCTATTATATTCCCAAGAGTGGATTGAAATTGTGTTGGAAGTTAACTTTAAAAAATGAGGCTATATTACTCATTTCTTTGAAGTCTTGTTTTAATCAATTATGATTTGGGAGAATGAATTCTTTCCGTTGAATTGTGCAGTTAATTAATGTTGCCTTTTTATTATTCTTGTCTACAGCGGCTAGGGCATTGGAGCTACTGAATTTCACTCCACTGAATAACAAGCCCATTCGCATCATGTATTCTCAGCGAGACCCTAGTCTTCGTAGGAGTGGTACTGCAAACATATTTATCAAGGTATTAATCTCTTTGAGGTCTTTCTTTATTTATCCCCCTTCCTCTCATGGCTATTTTTCCATCTGAAATCACAAATAGTAATTTGATTTGAATTTCTTAGGCCTTTCGTTTCCTTGTTCTTACCTGTTCAAAATCTGTCCACACGCACTCCATATTCATCCAATATATATGCAAAATATCCAATCTTAGATTTCCATCATTCTATTTGTTGTAATCATTCACACATGTAAACATATTTTCTTTATGTGATATAGTTGGCTTCCAAATTCCAATCTTACCTAATCCTTTGAGTTTTGTTTCGAATGCAGAACTTGGACAAGTCTATTGACCACAAAGCTTTACATGATACATTTTATTCATTTGGCAACATTCTTTCTTGCAAGATAGCTGCTGATGGTCTAGGGCAGTCTAAAGGCTATGGTTTTGTACAATTTGACAACGAAGAATCTGCCCAAAATGCAATTGATAAATTAAATGGCATGTTAATTAATGACAAGCAGGTCTATGTTGGACCTTTTCTTCGCAAGCATGAAAGAGGCAGTGCTTCGGATAAGACCAAATTCAATAATGTTTATGTGAAAAATCTTTCTGAGTCTACAACAGATGAAGACATAAAAACAATTTTTGGTGAGTATGGCGAAATTACTAGTGCTGTAGTTATGAGGGATCCAGATGGGAAGTCAAAGGGTTTTGGATTTGTCAACTTTGAAAATGCTGATGATGCTGCTAAAGCTGTTGAAGCTCTTAATGGAAAGAAGGTTGATGAAAAAGAGATATATGTTGGAAAAGCCTTGAAAAAGTCTGAAAGAGAGAATGAGCGAAAGGCCCGATATGAGCAGACGTTAAAGGAAGCTGCTGATAAATTCAAAGGTTTGAATTTATACATTAAAAACTTAGATGATAGCGTTGGTGATGAAGCATTGAAGGAACTGTTTTCAGAGTTTGGTACCATTATTTCATGCAAGGTTTGTGAAATGATACTTGGTTGGGTAATTGTTGATAACTAATGTAATCTTGTTCTCTTGATATTAATGTTATTGCTTTTACCTCTTTGAAAATTTTGCAGGTTATGTGCGATCCTAGTGGAATTAGCAAGGGCTCAGGGTTTGTGGCCTTTTCAACCCCTGAAGAAGCATCTCGAGCTGTAAGTTTGAATTTGTTTTTCTTTGGGTGGTCATCTAAATATAACGTCACAATCTAGTTAGTAAATTTGTTATACATCTACAGCTTGCTGAGATGAATGGTAAAATGGTTGCTAGCAAACCACTTTATGTTGCACTTGCGCAAAGGAAAGAAGAGAGAAGAGCAAGGCTTCAGGTAATACTATAAGTATTTATTCGTTGGGCATCTAGTTCTTTTCTATCTTGATTATTGTTTTTCAGAGTTTCCTTTGATAGTGTATTGTTTGTAATTTAGTAAAAGGAAGTGTGCTGTGTACTTCTGAATTTCATGGGTTAATGTTCTTAATAATTTGGGATTCAAGTCCATTTCTTCTTTTTTCTTGGAGCATTCTTGCCAATTAATTTATGCATAGTTTGACATGTTTAGGTTATATGATCTTCTAAGGGTTCTCTCCAAATACATGAAAATCTTTGTAAACTTGAATATAAATCTCAAAATTGTATGATGATTAATGGGTTTTAACAGTTATGTGATTCATTGTATAATTCAATTAGTTTAATCCCATTTATATGTTTTGTTTTGTTCAGGCTCAGTTTTCTCAAATGAGGCCACTTGCTATGTCCCCTGTTACTCCTCGACTTCCAATGTATCCTTCTGGTGCTCCGGGTCTTGGTCAACAGTTTTTATATGGACAAGCACCTCCAGCTATTACTCCCCACAAGTAATATATCTTTACTCTGCATCATCTTAATTTTACATGCTTTGCATGATTTTTTTTAGTCTTTCTCCCCCCTTGCAAGTACTTGTCTGTTTGGATGTTTGGAGGATTTGATTTTACTGGACTTCTGAGATATGAACATGATTGTTTCCTTATGTCATCTATTCCAGGCTGGTTTTGGCTATCAGCAACAGCTGGTTCCTGGAATGAGGCCTGGCGGCCCTCCTGTGCAAAATTTCTTTTTTCCCATGGTACAGCAAGGTCAGCAGGGGCAGCGACCAGGGGGGCGCCGGGGAGCAGGTCCGGTGCAACTGACTCAGCAACCTGTGCCGTTGATGCAACAGCAGGTAAGCTGTATGCATGTGTGTAGGAACCTGTTTTTTATGCTTATTCTAACTCATCCTCCTTGTTCCAGATGCTGCCCAGGGGATCTGTCTATCGTTACCCCCCAGGCCGTATGATGCCCGAAGTTCCAATATCAAATGTTCCTGGAGGAATGCTTTCTGCTCCATATGACATGGGTGGAATGTCATTGCGTGATGCTGGTGTTGGTGTTGGGCAGCCCATGCCGGTACCAGCATTGGCTACTGCTCTTGCAAATGCAACACCTGAACATCAAAGGACGGTAAGCCCATTTGTTGATTTCTTTTACAGTTTGCGTGTTTTTTTTTTTTGAAAGAGCGTGTTTTTGTTGTTTATTTAGTTTGGTGATATTTATATTTTCATTGCAACTGATGACCAGATGCTTGGTGAAAGCTTATATCCCCTTGTGGAAAGGCTGGAGCGTGATTCTGCAGCCAAGATTACCGGCATGCTTCTGGAAATGGACCAAACAGAGGTTTTGCATCTTCTTGAATCACCAGAAGCTCTGAAGGCTAAGGTTGCCGAGGCCTTGGAGGTATTGCAGAATGTCGCTGCTCAGCAACAAGCCAACAGTCCAGCTGACAGATTGGCTTCACTATCGCTGAATGATAACCTGGTTCCTTGAGCCTAAAATGATTGGAATTTGGGTATAGGCATCCTGGCCAATACTTTGCTGGACCCTTTATCAACACTGGACTATATTTGTTTATCAGGGTTGAAGTTTGGAACTTTATATATAATGCTATGCTTTTGGATAGTGTTTTATTATTAATACAGTTGCTAGAACATGGTTTGTTTTTTGCATGGCTTCTCTAGTTTTTATTTACTGGGCTTGTTTATATCCGTAGTTTGTTTAATTTCATTGAACATTACTTTATATCAATTTATTTTGCTTCTCAATACATGTCTGAAATGCTTTTAAATATGTCAGGTTCAAGTAATACTTTTTTGTACAAGTCGCTGCTATAAAACACTGCCTGATGGGATGGTGCTGTAGCAAGTCGGTGATGAGAAAGCATCACAACCACTTCATAATTTTAAAATTCGCTTTTGGAAATAAAGCTTTGCCGTTTGAAATTTTACAAGTACGATCCGGAGATGTATACCTGATTCACTCGAGTGGCGGACGGTTCATACTGTGCCACTTTCTATATAGGTGTTCATGTTGTTTTCTCTAGCCACGTAATTAGTGAGGGACGAATACTCGCTTTTCTATATTTAGCCACGTGTTCGATTGGTGCATCTCTACCAGTCTAACGAGTAAAATCGTGGATCTTACCGAGGCTGCATGGAAATTCTATGAAACGACAGAGTAATATATGCTAAAAATGATGCAACGGAAAATTTTAAAAGGAATTTAACAAAATACGTTTAATATATTGTACATGTTAAATTAAGTTTAATATATTAAGTTGCATAATTTAAAATAATTTAAAATGAATTGACCGGGTAATTTATTTTACCCGAAAGTATTGATATATTTTGCAAGAATATCGATAGTTTCGAAATATATAACATTTCATATCGAAACCTACACTTTAATTAGCAACCGATTTATTTTGTTGTCGTGTGAATGAATAAGGTCACAACAGTTTAAAATTCTATAACATTTGAAATAGCAACCTAAAATGTTAATTATATTAATAACATTGACGGTTTTGAAATTTTTTTGTTACCATTAAAAGGGTAACATTTTTAAATTTGAACCAATATTATTATATTAATGGATAACTTTTTCGATTTCTAGATAGAATGTTATGTGTTGTAAACTGATTGTATCGATACTATTTCTCCAAGTACTGATATTTTCAAATTTTAAAAAGAAAGAAGACGAGAATATTTTAAAAGTATCAAACTTATCCACATATTTTCATACAAAGGAGAAAGTATCGAGTATTTATAGATAACATAACCGGTTAAGGGAAGGTAAAGGGTAGAATCAGAGAAGAGAAGAAGGGATTTTCGTATGTAGAATCTGTTTTCCATCTAAGCAATATACATCAATACTGAAGAACAGAATTGAAATCATATTTTGAAAAACAGAGAGAGGTATATTCGTGAAACCTTAATTTAAAATTATTTTAACTAACAAATTTGGATTTAGGGATTATGGTTTAACTTATAAGGGAAAGATGCAAAATAATGGTTCGTTTATTGTTATAGTTTGAATGAAGGGAAAAATAAATGGGGTTAATAAAGCAAGTACAATGTAACACAGATCCCTGTTCATAAAGAAGGTCAAAAGACATTGGTATCTTTAAATGTTGTACGTTTATTAATTTATTTAGTTATGGATAATTCAAACCATGCCCAGCTGGGCTCGTTAATTACACCAAGTCAGTTACTCCAATTATATATTAGTAGAAATTCTATTACTCCAATTATATATTAGTAGAAATTCTATCTTTGAAATGTCCAAATAATTGACATGTGTCAGCCTGTCCATACAAGAAGTAATGAGCAATACCTTGTAGAGATGCACATAGCCTGATTTAAATCCGATCCGGATCGGATAAAAATCGATCCGGTTTTTTTACTAAGCCAAAAAATTGATTTATAAAAAAACCGATTCGGATCATAATCGGTTTGGAAGGTCGAATGATGTAACCGGTGTAACCGGTTTCGGTTTGAAAAAAACCGATTTTTAAAAAAAACCGGTTTTTAATCTAGTAAAAAATCCGGTCATCCAATTTTTTAAACCCCAGACCGGATTTTTTTTCGGGATAAAAAATCAGTTTTTTATCTGGTTTTTTTCAAACCGGTTTTTAATCCGGTAAAAAATCCAGTCGTCTAATTTTTTCCCAAACCGATTATACTATCCGGTTTTAAAATATCCGATCCGGTTTAAAAAAAACCGGTTTTTTCCAAATCTGATTTCGGATAATTTTTTACGTAAAATCGAATATTCGGATTTTTTGTGCACTCTAATACCTTGTATAAAAGCATTTCACCATGCTCACAACGTTCATTATCTGGTGGATAATCATCTTCTAATGTCCCTTCATATGCATCCAAAATTTCAACTGCTTTTGCACCACTGACATTGAACAATAAAAAGGCATTTAGCATATGTATCTAAAGGATAAGGAATTAATAGCTTCATTCACTTGGAACTAGGCTATTAAAAGGACAGGAAAGCTATGGAAAAACCTCGACAACCGATCTTCCAATGCAATAATTCAATCAAATACCCAACATAGAATCATTTGATATTACCTGGGAAAAGATGGAAGAAAATATAACATAATCATCGCTCACAGATAACACCATTGGATAAAACAACAGAACTCTGCAGTTAACTAGATTATTGAAGGTACTGGTTAAGCATTGTTTGTAAAATGATAACTTGCAACAAAATTTTACAAATGGATGTGTCCTCAGAGTAGCAGGACATATCTTCTACATGCCCACTTACGTGTTGGGGGAAACCGGGTTATTTCCCATACGAGTAGTATAAAAATTGACCTAAAATGTTAAGATCAAAACGACCAAAGGTTGCACAACGGATAAACCCGTCAAACTATTGAATATTGAAACACAATGTAAAAACCGAACAAAAAACAATAAAGGATATAACATACCAAATTTACGAGGTTCGACGAGAATATCGTCTACTCATCGGGCACCACACCGGATGATAACTTCACTATCAACAAAATATTACAACAAATGAAATTCTTTAGAATTCTCAAAGTGAGATAATGAAGAAAACAAATGGAAGAGAGAACTTGTTTTTGGGATGATTTCTAATGAAATACTTAGACCTATTTATAGTTGAGTTTTAAGGACTAAACTTATAAATAACTTAATATTTTAGGGACCAAAGATGAAATTCCCATGTGCAAAGTTGGTTCCCTACCAAAGATGAATTTTCCAATAAGTTGGCCACCAAAGATGAATTTTCCAATAAGTTGAGCTAGCTCCAAATTCAACTATGCTACAAAGGCCAACAATATTCTAATGGAAGACTGCTTCACGACAGGGGAAAATACTTCATTGTTGTCGATTCCCTCCTTTTGAGCGTAGCCTTTAGCTACCAACCTTGCCTTGTAGCGAACATCTTTCTTGCTATGAGACCCATATTTCTTTGCAAATACCCACTTGCATCCAATTGCACTTTTACCTTTCGGTAATTGTGTCAGTTTCCAAGTGTTGTTCTTTTGGAGAGATTGTATTTCTTCACCCATGACACTTTTCAACTTATCACTTTCAAAGCTTTGTATTGCTTCTTGATAAGTGATGAGATATCATCATCAACAACTGAAAGAGCATAGACCACCATATCAACAAATCGAGCAGGTTTACAAATTTCTCTCATTGTCCTTGTAACTGCAAGTGGTTCTGGTGTCTCCAATGGTTCTTGGGTTTGAACCTTTTCATCTTCTGATTCTTGTATTAGAGTTGAAGAATCAGTTGCATCAACTTATGGGATCATCGTCTGTTGAAACTCCATTTGTTTGGAGTATGCTCCACCTGCTGCGGAGTACTACTTGTCTGGACAGCTTCATTTGTTACCTTCTTTACTAGGGCATATTCATCAAATGTAACATCTCTGCTACAAATTATCTTCTTGGTGTCTAAACACCAAAGGCGGAATCCCTTCACTCCATGGGTGGTTCCCATAAAGAGAGCCTTCTTTGCTCTCGTATCAAGCTTGGATTCATTCACATGATAATAAGCAGTGGATCCAAATACATGTAAGGAATCATAATCAGTAGCAGGCTTTCTAGACCATAGCTCCAATGGTGTTTTTCCTCCTTTCGCTGATGATGGCAGACGATTGATGAGATGGCCAGCATATGTCACAGCCTCAGCCCAAAATATCTTACTTAACCCATCATTAGACAACATACATCGAACTTTCTCCAATAGTATTCGATTCATACGCTCTTCCACCCTATTCTGTTGTGGTGTATTTCTAACAATGAAGTGTTGAACAATACCATACTTATGGCAAACATCAAAGAATGAGTCACTTTTATATTCTCCTCCATTGTCCGTCCTAAGACGTTTGATCTTTCTAACAGTCTGGTTCTCGATCATATTTTTCCATTTAAGGAAAATTCGGAGCACTTCATCTTTAGACTTCATCGGATACACCCAAACTCTTATGGAAAAATCATCTACAAAAGTTACAAAATAATAGTTTCCTCTCAAAGACGGTGTCTTTGAAGGACCCCATACATCTGAGTGAATATAATCCACAATACCTTTTGTATTATGTATAGTTGTGCCAAACTTCACTCTCTTCTGTTTTCACAGAACACAATGCTAGAAAAAGTTCAATTTGCAAGCCTTTGCACCTTTCAACAATCATTTCTTTGCCAGAATTTGCAAGGATTTCTCTCCAGTATGTCCCAACCGCATATGGCACAACTGGGTTGTGTTCAAATCATTACCTCCGGAAGCTACTGCAACTCCTCCAATAATTGTACTACTTTGGTAGTAATACAAATTATTTTTCCTGATGCCCTTCATCATCACAAGTGCGCCAGATGTGACTTTTAAAACTCCATCTCTTATAGTGACTACTGAGCCTTTAGATTCCAAGGCTCTCAACGAGATGAGATTTTTCTTCAAACTAGGCACGTATCGGACATCAGTCAGAACTCTGGTTGATCCATCTTGATTCTTCAATCGAATTGAACCTATCCCAACAGTTTTACAGGCATTGTCTTTGCCCATATAAACAACTCCTGTATTTAGTTCTACTAAATCGGATAACCACTCCCGATTAGGGGACATATGATAGGTACAACCCGAATCTAATATCCACTCATCTGAATAGAATGTTGTTGATGAAGCAACCAATGATATGTC